AATTTCTTATTATGTAAATAATAAACATTTTGATTAAATAATCGATCATTTTTTTTAATTAATTAACTAGTGATTAACTTCTAACTAATTTCATTGATTTTATTGATCTTGAACTTGAAATATGTTATTAAAAACATTATTTTAAACAATTTTTTTTATACATAATTTGTTTTTGAAAAAAATTCAGCATTATATCATTGAGTTCTGTTTATATTATCAATGATAGTGTATATATTGTATCATTGAATTCTTTATATGTATTAATAGTATATGTCAGTATTTATTTATCAACTATTTACTTATTGTATTATAAATATATTAAAATCTAGCAATCAATGTACATAATGAGTTATTTATGATTTCATATATACATATATATATATGTTTTATTTTCGAAGTCATCAAAATCAGTGAAAAAGAAGTTAATTAATTCAGATTCAATATTTGTGTATATCATTTTTTGTATTTTATTATTGTTTTTGCTTCTAGAATCTTTGTAAAATATGAAATGAATGAATAAAAAATTATGTAAATATCGCAAAACATCACGTGCAGTGAAAATAAAAGTAAATTCAGTTGAATAATACACAACGAGTGCTAATGACTAAGTGAAAAAATGCAGTCTATATAAAAACAATTGATTTACTTCGACTTTATTTAATAAATCTTAATAAATATGTTTTATAATATCTTCAAAGATTTCTAAAAATATTTCTAAAAATAAATAAAAATACACAAACATGTATAATATATACATATATTTACAGTATATAAAAATTATAAGATTTCTTATCAATAAATTAAACAAAAAAGACAATTAAATTAATTAGATATTGAAGCAATTTTTTTGCTTGAACATTTATATTTAAGGTTAAAAACATTTTTCTAAAAATAATCAAGAGATGGCGCTGATCTTCAGTTCTTTATTCTTTTTTACTATTTGTTCTTGTTTATATTTATTCTTAGTTCAGATGAAATATGAAATATTAATTGATCGTATTTTCAACATTTTATTTTCAAAATTTAAATGTTATTTATGTAAAAGAATGTAAAAGATGTATTAAATTTTTACAATATATCTCTAATACAAAAATTTTACAAAATGTATATTTTGAATATATCATACGAGTATTTTGATATGAGAGATCATTTGGCGATAGCGTAGGAACAAAGAGAATAAAAAGAAATTTTGAAACATTTTATTGAAAAACGAAGCTATTGAAAAATCATTTGTCGATTTTTTTTTTTCATTACTTATAATCTTCTAAAAAATTGTTAAAAGATAAAAACTAATTAATAAAACATTATCATAATTAATTGTTAACTAAAATAGTTATAACTAAAGAACTGTTATATCATATACAAATCATATAATTTTAATTATAAAAGATTATAATTATGAAAGATTATAAACATAATATTAATTTACAAATTAGAATTAGAGTGCATCAAGATTTATAATGCACTTATAAAATATATACTAAACATAATTTTAGTTATTGAAACAACTAGTTATTGAATTAAAGAACGTGTAATAATTTGCTCATAATCTCAAAAATTGTATATTGCCAAATTCATAATTTTTGAAATATTAACAAAAATTATTGTTATTATGTATTGTTATTCGATTGTTATTTTTTCAGAGCGAAATACAAAAATAAAATATAAAAAAATCCTTGCGTGCGAAATTACAATAACAAGAATTATAACGATAAATACTAATTACACTAAATATGAAACTAATATTATTTTGATTATAAATTCGATCATTGTAATTTTGATCGTTTATTTTATATTTTATTTTCACATTGCACGAATTCGAAAAATGAATAGATATTAAAAGTATAATAATAATAATAATTCATAGATTTTAAATACTAGTTGCCGTGTATTGCATAAATATATAGAAACAGTAGACGATCACATACTGACACTATCATCGATGCATATATAATTTAATGTAACAACAATTTTTATTTTTTGTTATTAAATAAATTTGAACAATAATCATTATAGTCCTAGCAAGTAAACTTTGAAACATAAGTTTCCGACTGATTCATATAACTAAAATAAAGTCAAATTATTATTTATTATATCTGATATTACATTGATTCTATAAAAAGTTTGGATTCTTTTGTCATAAATTGTTTATTTCAAGGTATAACGAAACGTATGATAAATCTCTCTCTTTCTTTCAAAAAACTTTCTTCAAATATACATACATTACCAAACATGCAACATTAAATTAATTATTTAAATTTGATAAAGATCTAGATGTATCAAATATATAATATTACAATTCATATATTTGATACTTACAATATAAACATATTATATATGTTATCAGATGTATTTTTAGATATCTAAATATAAAGTATATTATTATTATTCTCGATTATCAGATCTTCCTATTTTTTTTTTTAATATTATGAAACACTATTATTACTACATTTCTTACGAAAAATAAAAAAATTTTTTAAATAAAATATTTATTTTACCAAAGGATTTTCCAAGGATTTCTATTTTTATTAACTAACTTCAGAATTAAAATTTTGTAAAAAAAATCATTAAATTTTTAAGAATGGAAAAAATAAATGATATTATACGTATAAGTGGAAGTTTGTTACAATATGTATAAGTGATTTTTTATTTTCTCAACGATAATTTTTTCATTAATATTAAAAAGTTTGCAAATTACAATAAATTCAACACGTTCATTTCATTCCGGGATTAATAGAATCGAAAAACCGCAACGTAAATATACCTAATCCTCCATTATACCTGATGAAAAAAAATATATATGCTAACCAGCCTAAGAAGGTAGTGAAAGGTTACCGCGTGCGGTCAGGCTGACTCGTTTGATCGTCTGAAATAAGAAAAAGAGAAAGAAGAAAAAATAGGTAAAGATGGCCGATTGAACATGATTCAGCGGTTGGCGATGTACGCCCCGAAACCGACCGGTCTCCTTTTTGGTTCCGGGAATTCGTACTCCACCAATCGGACTTTCAGCATCATCTCCATTCACGGACAGTATTCGTCTGGAACGTGCCGACACAGCTTGGAAAATTCCCTGACGATTCTTCGTATATCGAACATTCCATTCGCGAAAAAAAAACGAGTTATTCGCTTACATAATAAAAATAATATAAATAATAAAAAAAAATATAAATAATGGCAATACAAAAAATAATATAAATAATAAAAATAATACAATAAATAAATAATAAAAAGAAATTAGTAAAAATTTTGTTTTTTAAAAATGAAATGAAATGAAATTCAAAGTTCATTACAAACGTTACATCTATAAATGAATATTTACAAAATTCATGAAGTGCTGTTTTGTTATGTTAATATATTTATTTGTTAGAAACTTATTGCATTAATAAGTTTTCGTAGAGACACGTTGTGTAATATTTGCAATTATATATTATAATCTTTTCTTGTGACTACAATGAATTATTGGTTTTTACCTTTTTACGACTGAGGTAATAAAGATAATTTTAGAAATGAATAATTTGGCAAAAATATGAATGTTTATTATATATAAATAACTTATATAAAAATAACTTTATTAAATTATTCGATTTCTATCCTTTTTTAATATTGATTTCTTAGAATTTTTCATCTATTATGTATTATATTAAAGTATTTTCACAGAAAAATGTTTGAAAATATTAAATTATAAATAATTATTAACAAAAATATATTGTATAAAAATATCATAGATACATGTAAATGTACAATTTTCAAATGTTTCTAACATTTTTAAATCAATTTAAGATATTATATCACATCATTTAATATCTGTTAAAATTAAAAATAGATTTGAAACAGACCAATATCTTTTTTATATATATTTTTAAAGTGAAGAATATCTTGATGTAATAATAATTTTAATCAATGAATAGTAAATAAATATTATTAATAAAAATTAATTATTAATAAAAAAATTATATATAATTGAACGTTTAACAATTTCTAAAAATTTTTTCATTAAAAAGTATATATTTCACAAGTTCACAAATAAAATATTTCATTTCATTGCATTTAATATATTCTCAAAATATAAAACATTTCCTAACGATTTCTTAAAACTGATAATTATTTCGATTCTTTTTGAGAATTAGCGTTCTTAAGTAATATTTAAATCATTCGATTCGATTCGATCGTATTTCATAAGAATTCGAAATTGAAACAACACAGATGATGCTGCAAGGATTCACCGGAGAAATCTGCGAGCTCTGATGACGCACATGACTCTTTCCATGAATCGATCGATGCACGAGTCACACCGATTTCAACAGTGATTATCTGTTGTTTCAAAAGATGAGAGTATTTTTGGATGATTGAAATTCAACGAAAATAATTTGAGAACAATTTCCAATGATGATGATATGACAAAAATATAATATGATAAAAATAAAATAACATCTAGAGTTTAATGAAAAAATAATATAATAAAATAAAAAGATAGTATAAAATAAAATTTTTATAAAAAAGAATTATAAATATATTTCTTTACGGATATATAAAAGCAGGATATTTTTTTCGGAAAAATTCTAGATTATTTTTTAAAAAGCGAAATAATATGTTAATAAAAAATTTTTTAATTAGAAATAACCTATACATATATATATATATAGATAAAAATAATGTCTCCTTACATTTTGCGTTACGTTTTTATTAATATAAATTTTATTTTTTAGTATAGAAGTATAGAAGTATAAATATAAATATTCTTATTACGATAATTGTAGCTTTTAGGATAAAAAAATAAGATGGAAATTTAAAAATATGAAATATTTAAAAATCGAAAAGCTTAGAATATTTTTTCCAAAAAAGAGATCTATATCTAATCTATATTTAAATAATAATAAATGAAAGTAAATAAAAATTTAGATCAATTCTATCAATTGAAATGTGAGATTTATGTCACGAAAAATTGGATTGTAGAAAAAACACTTTTAAAAAAATATTAAAAAAAATCATATTCCGAAATATAAAATGAGTCATATAATTAGTCGTATAATATAAAGAGCTGTTGGCATAGTATATGCATATTATGTAAGTTGTACACATGTCGGTGAATCATCAACAGTTTGCGAGATCGCATTCACCGATCATGAGAAACGAAATTGTGTGACAGTTTCTCGAAGATGAAACGAAAGATCGTGTTAACTGGATGGGAGATCAGATTGAAAGTAAAGGATCGACTAAGAAATGATATTTATATAACAAGAAACACGCGAAAGGAATGTATTCAAGAAAGCGTAGATATTCAATTTTGCGAAACGTGTTCAATCTTCGAGTGATCTTTCTGCGTTTAATGTCGTACGAATGTGAGAAAAAATGTTTGACTTGAAGATACATCGTCCAAGGAATTTGAAAATTATATCATTGATTAAAAATCAACACGAATGTGAAAACGAATCAAGTGGTATGGAAAAAGAAATGATCGAAGAAGGCGATATTCTAGAATTAGAACCAGTGATGGTTCCATCTGGTAATTGTTTCTTTTTAAATATTTTACTCGAATGATTTAAAAGAGATATAGTTTTAATTATGTTATAAAAAATACAGAAAATATTTAAATGAAATAGATAGAAAATTTAAGAATTGACTAAAATAAAAATCGAATGCAAAAATATCCATTAAAACTTATTTTTGAATTTATAATTTATAATTAATTTTGTACTAGATTAACACGATAAAAATGATTGTATCTTTGCCATATTCTATAAAATTAAATTGCTTATAATTTGAAAAATAAGTTTTAATAGGAATATTTATCAATTTTTGTTTTTTCCAATATATAAGATTATCTTTGATATTTTATATATACTTTTCTACGTGAATTTGACTTAGAATCTACTATTCCTTTTTACTTCTATTTTATTTTTCATACGTTATTATTTTTTTAAAATATATAAAACTATTAAATTAAATAGCTGTATATAATTTTTATTAATATTATTGTTAACATTAAAAATTATATTTACACATGATTGTATTCTAAACAGAATCAATGATGAATTCAGCAAGACAAGATCTTAATTATAATTTCTATAATATTCAAGGAAAAGAAAGAATAAACATAAAATATTAATTACATTTATTTTTTTTAAATATAATAATAACATAAAAAATATAATATATGTAAAGTAAAATATATAAATAAAAATACATCATAATGAAACAATGTTATATTAGAACACAAAAATGAACAAAATTTTCAAGTAAAATTTTTAAATAATCTAATCATTTTCATTTTCAATAAGTAAAATAGTTGCTATTTTAATGAAAAATTGTTTTTTTTTAAATAAAAAATTTGATTATTTTTCTTTTTTCAATTAAAAGAATAAAAAATTGTAATATTTCAATCGACCTTTTCTTTTCTTTGAGTTGAAAATTCCTGGCTTTGATTATCAGGCTTGTTAAATAGATCACTGATTTAATACAAAATTAATATAATAATTAGTTAATAATTTAATTTATAGAGTTTATATTTATTATTATTCAGATCCATCAGAATGGAATTCAAATCATATCGCATCATGGATTTCATGGTGTACCAAAGCATTTTCTATAAAACCAGTACCGAATATGATCAAATTTCCATCAACTGGCAAAGAATTATTAAAATTATCGTCTGATTATTGGGAAACCATTCCTGGTGGAAAAATTTTGGCGCGACATCTTGGCTATCTTCAATTCCAGGCAACCGGCATACAGACTCCAAATTTGTTACAAGAAAAGAAAGATGATGGTAAGTAAACAGAATTTTAATTGAAAATAGATATAGTGTTATAACACGAATTTTCAATTAGGTTATGTCGAAATTTGATAGATAGCTATAATTATTTTTAATTGTAATATAAGAAATTCTATAGCTAAATAAATTTTATAACTAAAATCTAAAATCTTTTGCATTCATTTATTTCAATATAATTAAGAATAAATAGATTGAAATACAAAATAGAAATGACTTATGATATATTATACTAAAAAATTCTATTAAAAAAATATTAAAGATTTATCACATAGACTATTAACACATTCGTAGAATTTTTGGAAAGTCAATTAATAAAGGCCAAAAGAAATACAAAAGTTAATATATAAAAATATCGATAATTAAAATGTAAATTTCCTAATTATAATTGTATAAATAAATTTCAATCGATATTTTTTTATATAAAAAAATGTTGTGTCTTTAGAGTATCCAAAGATATTCCATGAATTTGTAGATATTTTATGTTTCTTATGATAAGGCTTTAATAATATTTTTTTTTTAATTCCATTGGATCTTAATTCATTTCTAATAAATCTAGAAATCTTATTTTTGAAAAAGGAAAAGAAGAGAGAAAGCGAGATATATTTTTAAAAATATATTTTTAAATCTCTTTTTAAGATTTGTATGTTTTCATTTCAATTTATGTTTTCATATATCTGATATGATGATGAATTAATGATATGAAATTCATTATTTATTCATTAAAAATTATAAGTAAGTAATTTAAAAGAATGATAAATTGGAAAAATGAATAAAATTAAAAATATATCGTTATAAATATTTATTTACATATGTATATAATTATAGCATGATGTATGATATAGATTATCGAACGAATATAAATTTAAATTTATCTTATATTTTTTGTTTTAAAAAGGGATAGAAATCCATAATTAAATGTAAGCAACATGACAATTTTTTTTTAAATTTTTTAAAATTTTATTTTTGAAGAGAAGGGGGAAAGACTCCCCATCTTTTTCTGAATTTACTACTATTGCTATTAAAAATGAAATATTAAATATTATTATGTAAATAATAAGTATTGACTTATTCGTCTTATCAAAAATATATTTTTGTATAATTATATGTGCATAAATGAAAGAAAATTACACATCAAAAAGAATTGAAAAAAAAAAAAGATTAAGAAACATTATAGAAATAATAAATATTTATTTTTTAAATATATATGTATAGAATATTTAACATATATTTTTTATTTTTTCATTATCATTCTCATTCAAAATTAAAAATATTATACGTCTTGATCATAATTTACAAGAGTCGATATAAGCATTGATAAAAGCATTGATAGAATTCTCACACAGTAAATCGAAATGACGTGCGATTCATGGAGCTTAGAAAAGGTTAATAGGGGTTCAGGTTGGATTGAAAGTGACCGGAAGAGGCTAACCATTCCCCAGGGTCAATTCCAGTCCACTCGCGAACCTTATCTTAGGCTTTAACGAGGGCGCGATTATCTATTAGAGATAAGAAGGGTCCGGCAGAAAAATAAATTTCATAGACGATAATAGTCTCGTTCTCTCGCTCCATTTTTTATCCTTATCAAGCTTTCGATGAGAAAGAGACATCGATCATTTGTATTATTAATCATTTATTCCATTCATCTTAACTTTCTCGATCGTTTCTTCGAATCGAAGATGATCCAATTCGACAAAGGAACACTCGTTTCTTTGAAAATTTGAGTTTTACAGAAGAGAGGAGAGAAGAAAGAAATAGGATACGCAACAACTTGAGAGACAGATTTTGGGACAAAAAAATACTTATTTATGCATATCTATCTACCCGAATCTCGTTTCAACGGTAGCCTAAAACTAAAAGTTATTCCAATCTTTTTGCGCTTTCGGTTGCAAACAGTGCCAGCTAGGGGTGATTCCCATTGGCGAAAGAGAAAAAGAGCGATCCGGCTTTCGGTAGACGGGCGAGAAGAGCGGAATCTTGGCAGTGTAAGCCTCCGAGATATATTGTCCGTTTGAATAACGTTGTAGGTGCTCTTGGGGTACACTCCGCGCCCGGCAGCGGCCGTTTATTAACGAATCAGTGTTATCGTGGTGAGAGAGCTCTCATGAATAAACCATCGAGTGTTTAGGGAGGCGGAAAGGTGGTGGCACCACCACGCTTGGGGTTACGGCCTCGTAGTAACCGCTACCACCCTTCTCCTTGCCATCTATCCTGTCGCGGGAGGGGATGGAAAACTCAAACGGGCTAGGGATGGTAAGCTCGCCACGGGGTGCGACTATATTGTTTTCTTGATGAGCGTGAAACATCTCCTGAATCTTTAGCATATACGGGATAATTTCACGCGTCATCTTCATACACCGCGAAACTTTTGCAATGTGAAAATTGAATCTGAATCGCGAATTCACGCTATTATGTATTTGTCAATTTTTTTTCAATTTTTTTCTACCTTTTGGAAATAGAACTTGAATCTTTATACATATGGTATACAGGTATATTTACATGTTCTTGTATGCACAAATTTATGCTAACGATCGAGAATGATTTTTATCTTCGTTCAATTTGATAGTGAATTTAAATAGATATTTATTAGGTATATTAATTGAATTATCTAATTGATTTGATGTTTAATTTGATAATTATAACGTGAAATTATTACAAATTGTTTCCTCGTCCATGTTTGTATCGATATTTCGTGCATGATATGATATGTTGAAAAATTTTTGGATTAGATCATAGATATAATTGAAAAAATTAAAAATTTATTTGTATAAATTTTTAGAATTAAATAAAGAATTATCAAATTTGTGAAGAAAATTACTTGCGATTTAAATTAACTTTTTATTGATTTAAAATCAAATCAATGATATATAAAAATTATATCTTCTATATTTTTTGCCGATAAACCTTTCGTAAAATTATATCTATTTACTTATTTTATTTATTTACTTCGAAAGAAGAAGAAAAAAAAAAGGAAAACAAAAAAGAATAAATATTATTGAACATTCAAATGCATATACGTATATATTTTAAACGAGTTAAAGAAACTAATTTCGAATTTTTAATGAAAAACGATTACATTAAAATTAATAAAAATTTTTATCAATTTATTACAAATATCTATATTTTATTAACTTAACACAAAAGAAAATGCGTGAAAATAATAAATAAATCTAACGAAAAATCTTTTACGAATGCTTTTATTTGAGGTAATCAAATAATGAAGATTTTTCGAAAAAAAAATAAATCAAAGAAAAGAAATTTGAAAATTTTAATTTGATCACCAATTTTAATATGCCTCCTTATATTGGTTCTTTGCGATAATGAGAATGAAAAATCCAGAGGTACAATCGTATACTCTACAAAGACGTCTATGGGAGTTAGAGTGGGGGCGATAAGGGCTGAAATCACCGGGGGCAAAGGTCGCTCAGTTACTCTCTGTCCACCGTCTGGCACGTTTTATTCCGCATATATTCGCACTTTATCGATATCCTTAATCGAAATTTTATACGATACTATTCGTGCACGTACACAAATTTGTGCGCATAACAAACGTGAACCACGTGATTTCTTTCTTTTTTTTTCTTCTTTTTTCCATTAATACAATTTTTACTCGATAATGAAATCATTATCGAAAAACGATATAAAATTATATATAAAATGTTTAAAAAGATAATATTTCAATAATTTGTCTACACGTCTGTACATATACTGTTTTTTAATTGAATATTATTTTAAGGGAACGTTAAATAAGTTTAAAGCTATAAAATAAAATAATACGATAAATAAAAAAGATAATTTAAATACAAAGAAGTTTGAGTGAATTGAAATGGAATATTAATTTAAGAATGGACTTTGTTTCGAACGAATTAAGAGGAATCGTTTTATTATTATGATGTCGTTGTGTATCAATCTTCGAACGCTTTGTGACAAATTATTTTGAAAAAAAGAAATTAATATAGAAAGACTTGGAAATTAAATTAAACAATAAAGAATGATTTTAGTATTACATACTTTCGTGATGAAATTATTAACGAGCCTGCCTATCACCGCGTTGTTCACGCGGTGAAGGATTAAGGCATTGTTCGACGCGTAATGTGGAGAATTCAAACACATCCGTTGCATCTTCAGCAGGATAGTAGATTTCATCCTTCGGCTGCTGCCATTCTTTACAACGGTACTTGTAATCTATCATTGTGTCATGTTGGTTTTATAACATAAATTGAAAATTATTGCGTTTCATTTAAAAATACATAGCAGAAAAAGAAATAAGAAAAACATAATTACAGCCTTTTATTTTAATTTTTAATGTTTCTTAATAATTTCCAGAAAAGAGATTTTCAGTCAAATTTAATAATTAATCTTATTATTAATTTATATTTTTTTTATTATGAATTAAGATTTATTATATATTATTAAATTTTTCTAACTTACATTAGCATTATTTTTACATTTTATATTGTGTATTGTATATAAATTTATTATAGTTTAAATTGAAATTCATAAATTAATTATGAATTTCTTCTTTTTTTTTTTATTTTAAACAATTCATTCACAAAAATTATCGATCGAAATTGTGGTTTTATTTAATTATTTAAATAAAAATCGATCAATCAAATGAAATTTAAAATAACAATTCATTATAAATTTAAATTTATTTATATGAAAAACAATCAAATTAAAACTTTATTTTACAATTCGAAATTACGAAAGTATTACTATACTCAGAAAAAAAAGATCTTTTCAAAAATCTACGCAATGTTTGAAAACTATAAAAAACGTATTCTATATAAAAATAACAAAAGTTTCGATCTAAAACAATTCCAACATCATCAAATCTCTTAAATTTCTCATACTTGCCAAAATTTCTTCTCTCTCGGCGAATAATTCGAAATTCAGACTTTCGAGAGAAGAAAGCACAGATGAAAAAAACATGAGATAAATTAAATAGGTTAAAAGACAGAGGAGAGAAACGAGAAGATAACAGACGGTCGCTACCATCGCTTCTTTCAAGGTTTCGACGAATCGACCTCCAAGCAATCACAGCCCCTGGCATGCGTATTCTGTTTCTTGTCCACAGAGAGGTTCAGCCTCTTTCAACGAACTTGCTCCCTGATTGGATCAACAGCTGGAACCAGCGGTTCTGGGGCGGTCGGAGGCGGACAAGTTCAACTCTGGCAATTCCTGCTGGAGCTACTCTCGGATTCGTCGAATTCATCCTGTATCGCGTGGGAGGGCTCTAACGGGGAGTTCAAACTTACCGATCCGGACGAAGTCGCGCGTCGATGGGGCGAACGGAAAAGCAAACCGAATATGAACTACGACAAATTATCACGAGCGCTCAGGTAAAAACGAATATATATTATATTTTGCGAAATTTTGTTACAAAAATATTTATTTGTTATAAGTTCATATAGATAATTGTTGAAAATTACCCGGAATTCAAACCGAATATTCAGTAGTAAAATTGAATTCAATTTAATCTTGATTCGATTAAAGCTGTGATTTTCCTATGATTTCCCTTTATATTTTAGTAAATAGTGAATAAAAAGGAAAAAAGATTAAAAGTCAAAATAAATATATCGATAAATTTCATGATGTCTTTATCAAAAAAATTAAACGTATTATTGTAAAATTAAGTTTCGCATCATTCATATGTTATTTTGTAAATATATGCTTATGATCAGCCTTAAATAAATATATCGCATTTGAAGAAATTTAAATGCCCATATTTCAATGTAACATTATATTAGTTATTAGTTATTATATTAATAACAGATAATTGTTTCCTAATTATCAGAATAACATAATTATAAATATATATTTTTTTCATTGACTTTATAATTGTATTATAGATAGTGAATGATTCATCAAATTAAATACCTATTAAATTAAACAGCACGAATTTATATCGTTAATTAATTAAAGATAATTTGTAATATATAAAATAATAATATATCGTACGCATACTATATAGATATTTATCATATAGATAAATAAACAAGAATAGAGTATAAACGTATTTAAAGAATATTAAATACAGTAAAAACAGTATAAATTCTTAATATTATTCATAATTATTGATTATAAAATACTTTTTATTATTTCTATTTAGATAATAACTAAAAATATTATTCAGTTTCATAATTTTAATTCAAATATTAATTATTAATCTTTTTTTATCATTCGATAAATTTTAAAAAATTTAAGATATTTACTTAATATAAATAATCTTTTGTAATTTTTTTTAATATAAGTAATATTTTGTTAATTTAGTCTAATAATTGTGTACTTTATTAATTTTGTCTTTTAATGATGCAGATATTACTACGATAAAAATATCATGACAAAAGTGCATGGAAAACGATACGCGTATAAATTTGACTTTCACGGGTTGATGATGGCCTGTCAAACCCAAGCCGGTGTTACATTGGAAATGTCTCCATCGTCGCGAGGTACAGGCGCAAATTGTCATCCTCATCATTCTCATCATACTCATCACTTATATCCAACAGGACCATCGAGTTCATCAATATCAGCACCTCCACCGCCTCCAGCGCCTCCGCCACATCCATCACATTATTGTTGGCCTTATCACAGATATTCCCCACCAGCGTAACATAAAAAATTTATTGCTGTTTTTCGTTTTTTACAATGTGAATAATTTTCTTAATGATTATATTATCTATATTATCTATTAATATTATATATACATAATTGTAAAATTATTATTTTAAGGGAATAGATAATTTTTAACATGATTGAAGAATATATTTGTATAAACTTGATGATTACAATCCAATGATGATTAATAAACGGTAAGTTTATTATAGCATATATATAATGTTAAATGTAATATATGAAGAAAATGTTTAAACATTAAAATAAAAATAGACAAACTAAGTAATTATATATTTCTTGATAAGAATAAAATAATTGTATATACAAATAAATATAAATAAATATTATCAATTTTTTATTATTTAAGTTAAATATAAGAATTTATATCTATGTATCTAAAATATGTGTCGAAAAAAATAGTATTAGTAGTAATGATCATTTCTGTAAACATTTTAAGTAGAATTTATAAGTACTTTTTGTTTAATTACAATGTACAGTCTTTAAACATAATTTTTTATTTAATAATTATTAAGACATTTAATATAATAATAAATATAATAAAAAAATTAATTCTTAAATTCATTAATTCTATTTCATTAAATTTTCAGAAAATATTTTCATTTTTATGATAAAGAAATAGAAAAATCTAAATTTTTTGATTTTATGTTAAAATTTCGATTTTTTTAGATTAAATTTTTAACTCTTAAGAGTTCATATGAAAAAAAATATTAATTTGAAATTAATTTTGTCTAAATATTATTAAATAAATAATAAACAGTTTGCTTATATATACTTATTTATAAATAATTAAGTAATAAGTCTTATATGAAGATTTACAACAGATAAACACAAGATGGACATCCTTGCTCCATCTAACAGTGAATAGGTAAAACTAGATTAAAATTTACTCTTTGGTGAGATAAATGCTGATAATTTCATTCGCTATATTTAGAGTTTAGTATTTCAAAAGATATAACAAAAAATATCATTATATATTTTTTCTTAATTTGTGATCTTATTTAAAAATTATAAATAATTATAAGGTAACATTGAGAATGATATTAAAATGGTTAATTTTAATACTTTTATGGTAATGGTTAGTTTTAATAATTTTAAAATTTCTAAGATATGCAGTTAAAAATGCAATTAAATATTAAATCTATTTTGTACATTATTTAAATTTACATATTGTTTATTTTATATCTTGTATCTGAAATAAAATTTGTATCATCAAGAATTAAAAATACATAAATTATGATTTTTTTAAATATTCTGTAGATGTCACTTACATCAAATTCTTAGCCAATCAAAATTAACATTGACATAACCTAAATATCGTATGTTGAATTAAGCGCCATTTCTCTTTCTTCATAAGAAAAGGTAAATGAAAGCACGCTGTGAAGCGATGTATTGAATATCAGTTTATTATAATATCATCATTATAATTTTTGTGTGAAAATATTTTAAAATATGAACTCAAAGATAAAATTACTAATGTTATTGTATTATTTTAGTTCTTCAGTCCTTAAAAAATATGTCGGACGTTGAAAAGTAAGTATGTTTTATCTATCTATCTCTTATAAAAATAAAATATTAATATATTTTTTTTATTAAGAAAGTATTAAAACTCTATATAATATTTTATTGTCTTCATTGTAAAAATTGTTTGAGTTTCAAAATTTATATAAAATTTAACCTCTTATAATGTTATATAAAAATAGAATAATAATGCAACTATATTTTTATATAAAAAATTTAAATAAAATAGATTTGAAATAATAGAATCTAATTATTATTTTATTTTTAGTGATGATGTACCTTCTGCAATGGCAGCAGGAGGTGCAATGGATGTCAACACAGCTCTTCAAGAAGTTCTTAAAAATGCATTGATTCATGATGGTGTTGTACATGGTCTTCATGAAGCTGCCAAAGCATTAGACAAGTGAGTTTGTTATATGTTATTTTGTATATTTTTGTAAAATATAAAACCTAACATATATTATTTTCATATGATGAAATATTAGGTTCCCTCTTCTGAGAAATACCCGTTACAAAAATTAATAATGCTGTCATGAACCTTATCTGATTTATTAAATAATTATTTCTTAATTGATCATTTAAATATCAAATTTATATATATTTACTTTATTTATTATATTTTAGGAGACAAGCTATGCTATGTATTTTAGCTGAAAATTGTGATGAACCTATGTATAAAAAATTAGTACAAGCATTATGTAATGAACATCAAATTCCTTTAATCAGAGTAGACAATAATAAAAAACTTGGTGAATGGGCTGGTCTTTGTAAAATTGACAGTGCTGGTAAAGCTCGAAAAGTTGTTGGGTGCTCCTGTGTTGTTATAAAGGTATAAATTATATAAAATGTAAAAATAACATTTTTTTTTAATTTAAATTACAAATCGTATGACATTTTGTGATGAAAGCAAAGGCTCCCTCTACTGAGAGAACCCATATAATTAATAAACTATGCTGTGTTAATGCCTTTCTGATTTTAATAATTTAATATTGATTTTTTAACAATTTTTTTTAATTATTGAATTTCTTTCAATCAAAGAATTATCTTTTTACCTTTAGGACTTTGGAGAAGATACTCCTGCAAAAGATGTTGTAATGGAATATGTCAAACAAAGTTCTGTACACTAAAATCTTTTAATAAAATATTGGACATAAAATCGTACGTATAATTAATTTAATCCTTAAGTATTTTTAAATTTTGTATTGTAATAGAAAAATCAACTAAAATCTATTCATGAATAATTTTTAATTTATTTAATTTAATCATTGAAGACAAAATAATAAAAAGATAATAAATTTTTTTTCTAGAAATAGTTTTAAAATTAAACCTTTTATTTATTTTCTATATTTTTTGTTATTTTGTCGCAAATATCTTTATGTTTAATCCAATCTTTTATTTGACACTCCCTGTAATGATTCAATAATAATTATTATGATAAAAAAATAATAGTATTTTATATTAATAGGTTGTTGCAGAAATATCAAATTTTTAATAAAGTTATTAACATTTGTAGTTCTATTGAAAGTAATATTAAACAAATTTTGATTTAATAAAATTGTGTTCATTATAAAACGAAATTAATACATTTAAAATTTTTCTTGTTATTAATAAGTCTTATTAATGATTTATGTTTGATTATTTAATTTAAATTTTTCATATCAAGAATCATTTATTCTTTTAATGTAATTGTTTTGAAAGCTTTATTAATATCAATAATTTTTATGCATTAAATTACAAATCTCTGTAAAAGAAATATGCTCAAGTTGTAACTTAAATTATTATAATTCAATTTTTATTTTTTATATTTTTGTAATAAATAAAATATTAGCTCAAATTATATTCAATTACTTTCAAAAATAGTAAAACAATTTTTTTTTAATTTTAAATTAATAAATATAATATATTATTTAATAAGAATATTCATTAATATAAATATTGAATGGATTTATACATTTGTGAAATCTACAGTGCAACAACCTAATAAATATATAAATATAATAATTGAAAAGAGTTTATACCTTCCACAATACCAAGCTTCTTTACATTTAGAACAACGTTTTTTTGCTTCTTCATGACATAAAAAACATTCTTTAATATCAATACAATCTAGTTTATCTAAATCATATGCATCACTTAAGATTTGAGCTGCATTTTTTATATAATCAGCATCTGTTGTGTATATAAATTTTGATTGATTTTTTGCTAATTTTTTCCACTTTTTGTGATATTTTTCCATTATTGATGATCTTATCTAAAAACATAATTGTTTAATTAATAATTGTAAATAACTCTAAATATATATTTATCATGTTTTATAAATTTTAACCTGTGGTATAAGTTCCACATTTACTGCTCGTGATGCATTAGTATTAGGTGATGATACATTTAAATAATTTAACCATCGTTTTAAATCCATTAAAGGAGAAATTTGATCCACTACACATTCATGCAAATATTTCTGTAACTAAAACAATTTTTTTTTTATGTAATATACATATATTAATTTATGCAATATACAATTTTAAATATATAGTATAGTTTGTAATGGTAAAATAGTTTTAATAATTTAAAGAAAATTAAAATACCTTTAATAATTTAAAGAATCTATGTTCAGTAATTTCATAATAAGATGCACTTTTTGGATTAAGTAATAATTCTCTCAAACCTAACCAAATTTGTCCTTCTATCTTAGAAATTTTTTCCTCTTCATTTGGTTTTGTTTTTTTCCAGCCACCATTATATATCATATTTTCTCCTTAATAACAAACAATTTTATTGTAATTTATATTATATTTTTTTATATTTATGGAATGATAGTTACCTTCTGCATTTTTCTTTGTCCATGGATGTCTCTCAATAAGTTCAACAAGCAAGTAGGGTACATCATGTGTAGTTAATAATCGCGATAATACATACAATGGTAATTTGTCTGCAAATTCAGCCAAGTAACGAAGAATTGAAACGCAACGTATACCAATATCAAATTCGAATTCTTTCTTTTTTTCAAAAATTTCTTCAAGGCATGAACTAATTACAATAAATATTAATATTATTATTTAACTTAATTTAATAATTTTTTAATAAAATTATATAAAATTTTAATAACTTACTTTGGATCTTTTACATTTTCATATATTTCAATATTTGATACATCAATGAGTAGAGATACAGATTTAACAGCATAATCAACAAGATCAAGAATAGAATCATTCAAAGTTTCTGCACTTTCACAGTGAAATAACACATTTTCTAATAAAGAAACTGCAATATCTTCGTGATAAAATATTGTGAATAGCATAAAAGTATTTTTTGGTTCTTCATTCATTTCTATCAAAAGTGGAAATACTTTATGTTTCCATATATCAATTTGTATAGCTTCATATATAAGAATAGGAATCTATATAGAGAAAAAGATATTAAAATAAAAAATTGTTATATAGAAAATATTTTCTTTACCTTTCCAAGAGAAACAAACCATTCCTTTGTACTTTCTTCTCGCAAGGCGCTAATTTCTAATACACTTTGTTCATTCAATAACATCAATCTTTTATGAAATTCAAACCATCTGAAAAGAACATTCATTATATATTATATTATACATTTTTATACATAAATAAGGTTTTATTCAAATAAGGTTTTAAAGAAAAAAATCAACCCTTTTGTTCCAATATTTTCAAGATCAGATATTTGTAAATTATCTATAAATGACTCAATTTCCCAAGATGAAATGATATATTCCATTCGAGTTGACATTTTTATGATTAAGAAAAACACTATATACTATAGGCAAATGGCAACCATTTGTAAACAAAATTCGTGTTTGATATCTTCAACACATACACACACACACATATATTAATTATTAAATTTTTAAAATTTATGAAGATAATATAAAAATATATAAATAATACAAAAATATATACATTTAAACGTATTTTATTATTATAAAATAAGTTTTTTTTTAAATTAATATATTTTATCATATTTTTTTATTTATTTAAAGTTTTTTAATAGAAAATTCTGTAATTTTATAAAATTTTTTTAATAATAATCTATAAATAAAATATAGCATAAAATTATTAACTATTTTAATTCAAAACATTAATTCAAAAAGTTTTATAAATGTTAATAATTTTTTAATTTATAATCATTATATTTATAATTACATTATACATTACATCAGAATTACATCATACAATATAAGTTTTTTAAGTAAGAAAATAATCGACATAACCTATAATTTCTATTATTTATTGAAAATTAAAATCTATTTTAAAAAAATGTTAATTACAATTTTTCAAATTTACATTCTAATTATATTAAATATTGGAAATATATATTCTTTTACAAATCATCAAATTAATGGTAATTAAAAAAATTAAAAATAAAATTATTTTATGAAAAGCCTTTTATGATTTTTATTTATATTTATATATATATAATATATATTTTTATTTATCTCACAGATATTAATAACATTAAAAATATATCCATAGTAAATGATATGGAATTAATGACAGTATCAGAAGAATTATTTAAAAAAATCTCCTAATTTATTTAATTATGTGCACATAAATTATCAAAAACAAATATGTTTAAATAATTTTACTGATAATGCTTCTGAGAGGTAAAAATTTTATTTTTAACTTTTATTTAAAAGTTAATTGGATTTTAAATATATATATTATTTAACTTTAGGTTGTTAAATATATCATTTAATATTTTTTCAATATTAACAATAAAATCTCTTATAAAATTATTTGATAATTATAAATTAGATACTTATCAACCAGAAATTCTAACAAAGGAAGAAGATCTAGAAGAAAATGAATTTATTAATAATTTAATGAAAACAGATGTAATGTTATATGTCATGCATTTTTTATCATCCAAAGGTTTCTTTAAAAATGACATATACATTCATAAAAATATTTTAAAACAAATATGGTTTCATTTATATCCTCGAAGTAAAGGAATAATTCTGGACAGTTCTGGATTTGAACATGTATTTATAGGAGAAAGAAAATCGCATAAAAATATTATAGGACTCCATAATTGGATTTTCTTTTTCTATGGAGAATCATCAAATAAAATTAATTATTTTGGATTTGCCAATAGTAAAAAAATTGTTAATGTAAGTAAAAATATAAATATATATGATAACATTTATTAAATCATTTTTAAATGATTTTAGAAAGCAATCATCTTAGAAGCATATTTTACTTATATTGGAAAATATAAAAAATCAAGTATGTTTATTGGAACAGCTCCAGAATTGGAAATAGCACTTTATACACTCTGTTTTTTTACAAGACCAAATAAAAAATGTAAATTATCTTTTGCAAGAATTAAATTTGATATTCAAACATATATGTTGCAAAATAATGGTTCAAAATTTATTGCAACTGCTTTTCCTATTTTAAAATAGGATATTATTTTAAAATATTTTAATATTATTTTTTATATTATATAAATCAAAATAAAAAAACTATGAAAGTAGAATATTTTATTTGTTAAAAACACAAAGGTAGATTAATTACAATGAAAATATTATATATATTCTTAAAATATAAATAATCATTTATACAAAAGAAAAAAAACTATTATATTATATTTAGGAACTCTTCAAGTTAAATCGACCACATGACTATCATGCTTGTATTCATTATCAGATATCTTTTTTTTTATATTTTGTTTTCTTTTTTTTTTGATATAGAAGAATTTGAGAATGTATTATTATCATTTTTATTTAAATTTTGTATGTCATTTTCTGATAATTTAAATTTTTTAGAAATTATTGGAGAATTATTAGAAGAAATACAATCTATAAAATCTATTTCCGAATCACTTGTATCATTTTCTATTGGAGAATCATATATCCTTTCTTGTTCATGTTTAATATCGTACTCAAATGCCTGTAAATAAAATATAAAATAAATATAATCAATTATTGCTTTTAATTTTTCTTAGAAGTATTTCATATTTAATTTCAGACCTTTTCAATTTTTTGTTTTGTACAACTTAATAAAGAACTTGTACTTGATATATTTTGATTAGTTTTTCTTGATGAACTTTCAATCAAGTTTTCTTTAGAAACATTCTTATTTTCTGATTTTTTAATTTCTAATTCATTACTATATTTATCACTAATACCAAGTATCTCTTCTAATTCATCAACCCGTTTTTGTAATGCCATATTTTTGCTTTCTGAAAATGCTAGTTTTTCTTCGAAATTCCTAAAATATATATAATATATATAAAATATTCATACAAATTATAATTTAAAATTTTTAATTCATTTTAATCCAAGATATAAATTTAATAATTATTAAATGTAAATTAATAAATTTATAATAATAAATAAATTTAATAAATTTTTTAATATCTTACATTTGTTTTGACTGCTCTTCTAATGATGTATCATTTTTCATATTAACTTTAGAAAGTTTTTCTTGAAGCTTTTTAATACTCATGCGTAATTGTTTACATTTATTAAATCTTCCAATTAATTCTCTGTAAAAATTATTATATTGATGATTAAATAATTTTTTTTGAATGTTATACATTGTTTCAAATATATTATACATTACTAACTTTTTCATAATAGAAATATACATAGTAAGTGTTTCAGGATCTTTAGTTCTCCCAATCATTTTACTAACATCACTAATAGGTGCATGTAATAATACCTGTATTCTAAAATACACAAAATAATATAATAATAAAATAAATAAAGAAAAAATATAAAAATGTAATATGAAATATAAAATATATATGTACATATAATAATTACGTACGGTTTAAGATCCTCAATTTTATTTTTTAATTGAACAATTTCTTTTTTTAAATTATCACAGTGTGAACTTTGTTCTTTAAAATAATTAATTTGTTCTTTCAAAGCATGTATTGCTGCATTTTTTTTGTTAATTTCACTTTCTACTTTTCGAACTTCTTGTTTTAAACCAGCATTTTGTTTTTCTAAAGTAACATTTTTTGAAGAATAATATTGAATGTCTTTTTCCTTTAACAAAATTTGAAATTTTAAGTTATCCACTTTCTCTTGTAATGTAGAACCTTGAGATTCAACTACTTCATTACTTGGAAATGTAAAATAGAGTCTATGTATTTTACTTTGTGTAACTTTTTCTCTACATTGTGGACAGCTTTTTGATCTGAAAATAAATTATAATCATAATATAAAATATAATTATAATCATATGTCATGAAAAACAAATAAATTAGAAATTGAATTGACATATGTTATGAACTAAATTTTCAAGATATTTTTTAATATTTATTTACCTTTCAAGCCATTGTGTTAAACAATGCAAATGAAATACATGTCCACATCTTGTATAAAAAATATCATCTGATTGTATTAATTGTTCGCTACATATAGAGCAAATAACGTTCATTTTACATTAAAATAAATAATAAGCATAGAAATACTTGTTATAGATTAATTTATGTTAAATTTATTATTATTATTTTTTATTAATTGTAATATCAATATTATTTAGTTTTTACTTTCCGGAAAAGAATCTAAAATCAATTTAATATAATATAATTTGTTACGTTCTAATTCATGATCTAATTCAAAAAGGTTATACATGTGCTATCAAATAGCATAAGTCTGAAATGTCATTGGTAGGATTTAAGTTTGCCTTCAGAACTTTGAATTTAGTATTTATATAACACAATGAGTATACAATTTTATTTTATTTATAAAATAATATTTAAACGCATTTGAATATGTATTATACATAATATATAAAAAGTAATTGTAAATAATAAACACAAAAATATGTCATTTTTAATTTTTAATAATAAAATATATATTATACTTTTTTGTATAATATTTATATTTACAGGATAGCCAATTCAAATCTCAGTTAAAGCAAATTGTCTTTTTGACAAATGTATATTATAATTTTTTTATAATAATTGTTATTATATAATAAACATTTCTCGCTGTTTTTTTTACTTTGTTTATCGTAAAAATGTATATACATATAAATTATACAAGTATCTTTAAAAATGTTTAAACTCCAAATTCATTTTTTAAAAAATAACATATGTAATTCACATTTAATTTCATTGTCATTTACATGTGAAATATCAATATGTAACATTTGCAAATATTAATTTTACGATAGAATTCAACTAGAGATACAAAAATTTGCAATGTTTCCTAGGGAATTTTCTACAGTTTCTTATTTAGTTGTCGGTCAGTATTGCAGGCCATAACAATCGATTTACTCTGCAAATTTCAGCTATTCGAAACTTCGCGAAGAAGGAACCAGTTACCAGTGGTACCTTCTCGAAAGAACGTCTTTCTCAAAAACACTAGCTTATATCAGAGAATTGCCGGCATACATGTGAGTGCGCGAGTTACATCGAACTTTTCATTAACTTATTATTAATAATTATTATATTAGTGTATTTAATATTGTTGTTTATATACAGTAAAACAAGGAAGCTTGTCTTTTGAGGTGGGTGTTCATGTCGTCTTAACTTGAATAAAGATATACTGAAATGAATCTGAAATAATATGAATTAGATAATATTTCACTTTTCTCAATTGTCATTCTTTTAATTGTTTTCTGTGATTTATTTATATGTCATTAAACAATTGCATTCTACATTAAAATATTCACATGTAAAATGTCAGCCATTTGTTGGTTAAATGATTTTTATCTAACAATAATTCAACGTCACCTGTTTTTTACATTAGATAAAAAAATATATTTTTATGAAGAATTAACTGTTTTTTGTATATACATTGTCGAAAATAATACATATAATAGAAATATACGTAATAAATATACAAAAATAAAATTTTGTTATATATAATCTCTATTCTTATTATTTTTTTTGTCATTTATTGAAATACATAAATATTTTTATTCGTTTAAAAGATCTCTTCATAGAAACATATAATAATAGAATCGCATATATACATAAATATGAATATTTTTTATGTATATATTATATTTATTATTAAAATTGAATTTTATATTTACAAATGTTTTTTTTTTAAATATATTTTTTTTGAATTAATAATTAATATTAATCTAGTTATATAATATATAT